AGGCAAGCAGGCAAGCAGGCAAGCAGGCAAGCAGGCAAGCAGGCAAGCAGGCAAGCAGGCAAGCACTGACTGACTAAATTAATTAGTTAATGAAAGACAGCGACAGCAATGATAATGATGATATAATAGTAATGATGGTGTCCTAATGGTCATGATAATGATGATGCAATTATATATAATATCAAAAAGACGGTTGAGTTAAGAAAAAAGCTTAAAATCTAAACAAAATTGCAAATACTCGTTAAAAATTTTCTCTTTTAGTGACACTTGGGAAAAAATTAATAGAACGTTTAAGTGCAAATGATATATTATCACACAATATTGAATGCAAACCTTTTTGGTCTGATCATCAATTCCTGCTAGATTATAAACAGGTATAAACGTTGAATCGGTATATGAATAATCCATGACATCATCAGGATAAAAGTTAGAGTCCTTCCATGACCAAAGAAGTTCCTCGCTACTGGATGTTTTTATTCTCCCTGTTTAAACAAAGAAAAAAATATATTTCATGAGTATGCAGCTTTTTGTGATCTTTAAAGACTAAAATTTTACTCCTCTAAGTACTTACAACTCTCTGCAAATTTGATGGGATCAGTGTATATCTTGCCATCTGGTCCCTGCAAATCGTTGGATGGATCCCCGTCCATGTACCCATACAAGCCGCTAGTTTTCTTCATAAAGTCAATAGTAGGAGTAAGTCCTACATTGATGTATTGTCTTTCCATTACTTTGCTGTGTCGAACGTCTAGGCTAACAGCTATGCCTATAATCAAAATTAAAAAGAGACAATAATAGTAAACAACAAGCTGGGGATGCAGACCTAATCTTAGTATCGTTTCTTAACTATCAGTTAAGTACTGCACTTTACTAACCAACTAGTCTAGCTATATCTTTCTCTTTAGATGTATCATGACGTACCAGCTCCCAGTGGTAAAAGAATTTAATAGACCTTAATCGTCTTGGTTTAATGTTTTAATCTATCATATTGATCACCTGATTTGTATTCAACTGACATCAACATGACYACTGACTCTTTTTCGTTTCCGGTTGAATTTCTGTACAATTTCATCGAGACTGTTCCATTGTCTAATTTGATTTCTTTACCCAAAAGKAAGTTTATATGTTGACTTTGTCCATTTACCCTGTGGTTGAAAGAAATAGTTCCAATTTAATTTGTTTCAGAAAAGTTATGACTGACCGGTATATTACTAGTATGACTAAATGGTTGAATCAGATATGTTGTGCAGTAGCCTTGATAAATTCGACGTCAATTCTTAGGGTGCATGTTACGTTGTACCATAGTTAATAGATTATATAGATATATTAACTATGGTTGTACCTGCCATGTGGGTTGACTATAAAAAGCATTCCTCATTACTTTTGTTACATCAACCAAGATGGCAGCTGTTTCATTGTTATTATCTCGAGGGATTTTGAGTTATGTCGTTGCACCCCAAGAATGGACAAAGATAAGAAAATAACTTGAAGAAAACGACACGAAGCAAAAAACGATATTCATCCTTGTAAGCGATTTTTTTGTGTCCTCAATTAGCTTTATAGCTAAATATTTTGACACGTTAATAAAGTTTATTTTATTATCATCATCATCATCATCATCATCATCATCATCATTATAAGCTCAAGATATCAGAGAAACCCTCATCGTCCTAAGATTTATTCATAACACTCAACTCTATTATAAATTTTAATCACAGTTCAAATGGCTTTTGATTTTACCTGAGTACAGGAAAGTCGGCACTGCTAGGTGTGCGAACTGTCATTAATGTGATAGTGTTGTTGCCTGCTTTCAGTGCAATCCCTCCAGTCAAGGAGCTTCTCTCGTAAGCAAAGAAGCGGAACTGAAGACCAAAGTCATTCTCGATGCTCTGACATCCCCAGAGTTCACCAATACCAAAATAGTCATAATTGACTCCTGCAACAAACACATGAAATAACAACGAAAATATTATTCTATAGTTAGTCTTAGTAGAATAAAACTCAAATGGTTATTTACCATCAAAGGTGCTCAAGTGAGGATCGCCCGCGATAACAGATGGTGCTCTTACGTTACATGAAGTGCCAATCCATCCAGGTAAACACTTGCAAGTCACTGCGCAGTTTGCAGAACCAAAAGTTTTTCCATTGACACACCCTAAGAATACAAAATTACAGACGTTTTTCTTGAAAATATTAACATCTTGGTGGAATGCACATTTTTTTTAAGCATGGTCCCTTCTCAAGATTAATGTGCATACGAGGCCTACATGAAAACACACAAGATATTGATCAGCATTTTTGCCGATGGAAGTTGTGCTATTTCTTTTGTTTTTCCATGTTAGCCTCACCCTTCAAGATAATTTTGAGAGGGATGCATTACCTGACGATGGATCTGGTTTTGAACATCCTTCTCCTGACCAACCAGGTAAGCAGACAGGGAAATCGCCACACTTTCCTCTGCGCTTGGTAGTTTTGTTATCGTTACCACATTCAGTGTCTGGAGGTTCGGGTGGTAGTTTATTGATTTTCCATTTGCAAAACTTTAAAGCAGATAAATTAAGTGAATAAATAATACTCGAACAAACGAACAATCGACCGAACGAAGGAACGAACAAATGAATGGATGATTGGTAAATCAATAAATAATCGAAAGAAATAAGAGAAAACAAATTAATCAATTAATGAAAAAAGGAAAATACTCACTAAATAAGGTTAGCACCGTCTTAACATAATCCAACTTGTTGAACTTTAACATTAGGTACTCGAGCTATACCAGGCACTTCAATATTACTCGAACTGGTAGCTACAAGCTTCGCACTTAAATTTGGATTTTTCGCAGCCGTCAATCAAAATTAATTCATCAGTAGATACTTTTTTTATTTTTGACGGCAGGAAAAACCACATTCCTGCGAGCAATTCGCAACTGCTAAATTTGGGTAATTTGCATTTGGGGAATTGCTGAAAGGCGACAAAACTGAAGAAAACTGTATATTGTTTATAACCTTTGTTAATCTTACTCACCGTATCCAACTCGAGAAGTGATGCATTATAGCAAATTCTAAAGAAAAGAAAAAAAAACACAACTTTCTAACAAAGCTATGCCTTCTAAGATGCCTTCTTTATGATGCATTGCAATAATGACGAAGCTCTACCGGGGGAGGGGGGGGGGGGGGGGGGGGGGGGGGGGGGGGGGGGGGGGAGGGTACCCAAATCAAACGTCTGGATGTCACAGCTGCCTGTGTCGCAATTTCTGAACGTTCTTGCGTTGCTTGTCGGAATTTAGTCCTAATTTATAATTAAACATGGCTTCGCTGTCGGTAATCTAATGCAGCTTATTGGAATCTACCCCTATCAGGGCCTGAAGGAAGCATTCGGTTTATATGAAAATAAGATGAAGAAAAAATTCGCATAGAAAAAAAAGATATTTAACAGGTAGTGTGTCATATTTTTATGTTTTGTTAATACTTACTCTTTGACAAACATTGGAAAACATCCAAAGCTTTTGCTCCATAGCTCACTGTCCCCCAAAGATATTGCAACCTTGATTTTCTTCGCCCCAGCTTTAAGTACCAATCCCTTTTTGGGGTGACAACGACGGGAACATAAACTTGTTGAACCATCAACTATGATTGGTATTTCCAACCCTAACTTGGCAGCAAACAGGTTTCCTAGGGATATTTTAAGAAAAGAACTGCAATGTTGAGACATTCAGCAGTCTGTCTTCCTGGCTTCCTGGCTTCCTGGCTTCCTGGCTTCCTGGCTTCCTGGCTTCCTGGCTTCCTGG